TTACAGCCTCAGGTAATGGAGTTATTTACTCCAGTTACAGCCTCAGGTAATGGAGTTATTTACTCCAATTACAGCCTCAGGTAATGGAGTTATTTACTCCAATTTCAGCCTCAGGTAATGGAGTGAGTTACTCCAATTACAGCCTCAGGTAATGGAGTTATTTACTCCAAGTTTGCCCCCCTCAACTCACTGTTGTTTACATCTCTGAGAGCTTGAGTCAGGTGTCCTTGAGTTTCAGAGAGGAATTGTTTCATGTGAATGAAATGAGAGAACAGCAGCTGTCAGGCTGTGGAATTTTAGAGTTATACCACAAAGCAGTACAGGATATAAAAAATAGAAAAGCTGAATCCTAAGGCATCATTCCTGCTTGGGAAACACCAGATGAGTTTCCTGCGGTGGAAGTGTGAGGATGGTGGGACGTGGTCCAACCTCCCTCCCTCCCACTCCCAGTGGGATCCTGCCTCTGCTCTTCCCATCTGGAATCTCATTTTCCCTCTTTCTAACCCCAAAACCCCCATACTCAGCACTGCTGCCCTATTATTGTGAATAAAAATGAACCTGGGGAGGGGGGAACACTCAGGACCCCTCAGAGTGGATCCCTGAGCCCCCTTGGGTGGGTGGGAGATGCTGCTCTGAGCCAGGGGGTGTTTCCCTGGTGGATCCCAGTGGGATCCTGCCTCTGCTCCATGTGGAATCTCCTTTTCCCTCTTTCTAACCCCAAAACCCCCATACTCGGCACTGCTGCCCTATTATTGGGATGGAAAATGAACCTGGGGAGGGGGGAACACTCAGGACCCCTCAGGGTGGGTCCCTGAGCCCCCCTTGGGTGGGTGGGAGATGCTGCTCTGAGCCAGGGGGTGTTTCCCTGGTGGATCCCAGTGGGATCCTGCCTCTGCTCTGACCATGTGGAATCTCATTTTCCCTCTTTCTAACCCCAAAACCCTCATACTCAGCACTGCTGCCCTATTATTGTGAATAAAAATGAACCTGGGGAGGGGGAACACTCAGGACCCCTCAGAGTGGATCCCTGAGCCCCCTTGGGTGGGTGGGAGATGCTGCTCTGAGCCAGGGGGTGTTTCCAGGCGAGCCCCCCCGGTGGATCCCGAAATCCTGCGCACCATGAAGAAGGTGGGGTTCATTGGCTACGCCCCAAACCCCAGGACCAAGCTCCGTAACCAGGTAGGA